CTTCTTTCCCTTTGGTGGATCAACTAAGTTCCACGTCTGGTTCTTATAAAGGGACTTCATTTCATCTTCTATAGCTTTTCTCCACTTTACTTCGTCTGAACGCTTGACAGCTTCATTAAAAGTGGATGGAATGCTATCATCTGCAATTGAAGATGCATAGGCCACCATATCATCAAAACGAGCAGGCTTTCTTATAGTTCTTCTTAGCCTATCAAGTGCAATTGACTCAAGTTACTATGGAGGTTCTTGGAGTTGAACCTCCTCTTCATCTGAACCTCCTTCTACCTCAGGAGTTTCTACAGGTTCAGTACCTGCCACTGGGATTTTTCTATCAAACTCCGCCTATTGTGGAATACCATCTGACTGCTCTACTGTCACCTTTTTTAACATGGTAGATTCATCAAAAGTGACATCTCTGCTAAAGATTATTTTCTTTGATTCTGTACACCATAGCCATCTGACTGCGTCTAATGTCACCCCATCTTTTTTAACATGGTAGATTCATCAAAAGTGACATCTCTGCTAAAAGATTATTTTCTTGAATTCTGTACAGACATTCCTCTCATAGCTGATAAGCATTTTCACATGTGCTTGATCCCCATGAAAAATGGCTTTCTTCAGCTTTTGGAAATCCCGAACCGGTTCGATTCTCCCTTAATATGCATTAGTATATGCCTCCAGTGCGAACCGACTATACAATGATAGTATGCAGTGGAACCAAATACACGTAAGGAATCATAATCATTAGTAGGTTCTCCACACCATACCTCTATAGGTGTTTTGCCACCAATAGCAATTGATGGTAATCGATTAATGAGATGGCATGCATATGACAAAGCCTCAGCCCAAAATTTCTTGTCTAACCCAGCATTAGACACCATACACTGAACTTTCTCCAACAACGTTCGGTTCATGCATTCTGCCACCCCATTCTGCTATGGTGTATTTCTAACTGTGAAGTGCCGAACAATGCCTTCATCTGCGCAAATTTTATCAAAAGCATCATTTTTGTATTCTCGTCCATTGTCTGTTCGGAGACATTTGATGGGTCTGCCAGTCTGAGTTTCCACCAATTTTTTCCATTTGAGGAAAACTCCTAGCACTTCATCTTTTGACTTCAAAGTATACACCCAAACCCTTCAAGAGAAATCATTGACAAAGGTCATATAATAATGTTTGCCACCCAAAGAAGTCGTTGTATAGGGTCCCCATACATCAGAGTGAACATAGTCCAAAATACCTTTGGTATTATGGATTCTGGTGCCAAATTTCACCTTCTGGTATTCTATGGATTCCTGGTGTTCCCTTCCAAATTTTTCACTCTTAACTGCTTTCCTTGGTGCAATGCGTCACAGACAGTTCAACTCTTTTAGGTTTTACATCCTCTCTTAATATCCCTGATTCCGTCTCGACATTAAATACTTCTTATTCAAAGGATCTCTTTCACCTGCATGTCGCCAAATGCCTATGCCACAAATCTGGTTGTTTCCACTCTTTTGTCATCACTAGAAAAAACTGCTGCTGTCCGATCCAATAATTGGTATTAACCTGATAATAGTACAAATTATTACCTTCTCCGAAACTCCTTTCATCACCAACAAGCTGCACCCCGAGATGACTTTTCTGTCGATCCAATAATTGTATTACCCTGATAATAGTACAAATTATTCCTTCTCCGAACTCCTTTCATCACCACAAGTGCACCCGAGATGACTTTCATCATTCCATCTTTCGCAATTATAGTGAGTCCTTTTGATTCTAGGACTCCCATTGAAATGAGATTCTTTGTCAAACTCGGTACATATCGAACATCAGTCAGGATCCTGATTGACCAATCATGGTTCTTCAAACGAATTGAACCAATCCCTTTTGTGAAGCAAGGAACATTATTTGCCGTATAGACAACTTCATTTTCAAGTTCTTTAAAGTCAAAAAAACAGTCCCAATGGGGACTCATATGATACTGCATGCAGAGTCTAGCAGCCATACATCACCAGAACTTTTCAAATTTGCTGATGAATTGTCTATAGATGCCATGATAGCTAATGCGAAGTCTGAGTCTGCATCATCATACCTAGCTATGTTTGAATCAATAATAGCTTTGCCTTTGGCTTTCAGCTTTGGACAATCTTTCTTTCAGTGACCTTTCTCACGACAAAAGGCACATCGCTTTTTCCACAGCTTTGGATAATCTTTCCTTTCCAGTGACACGTTTCTCATGTACACGAACAAAAAGGCACACTCATCTTTTTCAAACTCTGGCTTTTGAAACCGGGATCGTAATTGACATTATTCTTCTTTCTCCACTCCTTTTCTTATTGGCTTCGTGAACGGCCTTCTTAACCACTAGAAGCTTCTACTTCAGGCTTGCCTTTTTCACTTCTTTCCTCATCTTTCTCCAATTCATGGCTGTAAAGTCAGCCACAAACTTCACTGAAGAAGTCACATCTTTGGACTTTCCCACATGTTGATAATATGATATCTGTCTGGTAAAGATAATCGCTCGTAAATTCATTATCAAGGAAGAGATGCTTAGCAATATACAACAGCCATACACGTCTCTGCAAAAGTCAATGCCAAATTTGTAACTTAAATCAACCCACCAGAAACCTATGATTAAACTTTTGTGATTTGTGCTCATATTCATCTTCAGTGGTACCCTCAGAACATAATTGAAGCGATACATATTTTCTTCTTTTTCTTCTTCATGAAGAGTTTGTTCTGATTATTTTTCTTCAAAAATTTATCCTTCAATGCCTTCCACAATCTGTTTGCAGAAGTTTCTTTCGAGAAAGCATATTTTTGCTCTCTAGAAAGACGTGACCGAATTGTACCACATGCCAAATGATTGATGGTCCTCCATTCACTCTCCTCCATCTCGTTTGGTTTATCTTCTTCAATAGCAACATCTAGACCTTGCTGAAAGAGAGCATCTAAAAGTTCACTCTGCCACATGCCGAAATGACCAGTGCCATCGAAAATCTCTACTGTAAATCTTGCATTTGATACAGCATTTCTTACTAAGGTTGATGCTATAGCATGTGTGGTATTTTTCTTGCCGTCTGCCATTTCTGCTTTAAATATTTAATAACTATAAAATCAATTTTCAAAATGTGAAACACAACCAAGGAACCTTTTTTATGTGAAAACATAAATTTAAATAACTATAAAAAATACAAGTTTTCGCACGAAAAGTATGGGTGATTAATAACTATAAAATCAATTTTCAAAATGTGAAACACAACCAAGGAACCTTTTTTATGTGGCAGATCAGACTATGCTGCAACCACAGTGAATACTTAGTAACCCTGGCTCTGATACCACTTGTTGTGGAAATTGGACTTTTCCACCAAATTAAAAATAATTTGTGAATTACTGTACTGAGTAACTACACCAGATAAATGGAGGAGTCATAAACGGTCTCACTTAAAATCCACTTGTCTTAGACTAAATTCGTGTTGGTTGACAGAATTTACCTAGACATGCAATTAATCAAATAATAACCACCAAAATATTTTTGCCCAACAATAGCTATTAAATAAATAAAGACAAAGCAATAAATAAGAGAGAATACCAGAATTTTAACAAGGTTCGGCCAATTTTGCCTACGGAACTTTTCACCAAAATTAAAAATAAATTGTGAGATTATCTACAAGCTAACACTGAGTAACTACAATACATACCTCAAGATAAATGGAGGTAGTCCATAAACGGTCCTACTTAAATCCACTTGTCTTAGAACTTAAATGTCGTGTTAAGGTTGACCGAGAATTACTAGACATAGCACTCATAATCATAAATAACCAACCAAAATATTTTTGGTTCCCAACAATAGCTATTAATAAATAATTAGACCAAAGAATATAAATATAGTACGCAAGAATACCAGAATTTTAACAAAGGTATCAGCGAATACATTATACACACCCCAATTTTGCAACTAAACCGTCCTCGAACCAGCTCGCCAAAATTTATATTCTCACATCGCTATAGAACCTTAATGATAAGACAAATAGTAGAGATATGAGAGAAACTTGTTCTAGACCCGCCACTACATGGTATTGGAAGAACAAATATTGGGATGATTAACAGATGAAAACTAAGCCGCCCTTTTATAACCAAAAGGAGCCTCTTACCCTTCCTAAAATCCCAATGTGGGGATATTTGCCCACAATAACAACACATTTGGCTTTGGTAACTAGTTATAACTGCTTATACTCATTAGATTGTTAAACTGTAAATTAAACAATAGCTATTAAATAAATAAAGACAAAGCAATAAATAAGAGAGAATACCAGAATTTTAACAAGGTTCGGCCAATTTTGCCTACGTCCTCGGACACTGCCAAATTTATATTTCACTTAAGAAATATACAAATTGAGAGATGAGAGAAACTTGTCTAACCCACTAGGTATTGGAAGACAAATTGGGATGATTAAAATGAAGAAACTAAGCGCCCTTTTATAACCAAAAGGAGCCTCTCTCCCTTCCTAAAATCCCAATGTGGGGATATTTGCCACATAACCAACACATTACACTACATAAGGCATACTTGGTAATATTAACTGTTATAATAGTTGTTAACTGTAAATTAAAATCATTATGTAAAAACAATTGTTTAATTTAAAATGACAAAAAGAGACATTAATTATTTAATTAGTTGAACTCGAGCAAAAAGAAATACTAAATATGATTGTTAAAAAATTTAATTAGTTTTTATGTGAAAAGCTAAACATTAAAGTATTTAACGCTTCATAAAAAGCTTCGTTAAAATAAAAGCTATGTTAATGGAATTTTGATATAAAAGCTATATTATTGGAATTTTGACTTGCTAAAAGCTAGCTCCAGTGACGGGCCAGAAATTACAATTAAAAGGGCAAAAAAAAAAAATTCAAAGGTTAAGGGTGTATGAAATTACTATTAACTGAAATTACTTTTATATCTATATGTTTTGTTAGGTGACAACAGCGGGGATAGAAGTAAAAGTTGATAAAGTATCATCAGCATAAAGTTATTCAATAAGCATAGAATCTTAAAGAGTTCATTCAAGACAAAAAGTATAAGAGTGACCAAAATTAGAAGGCGATTGCCTTCTCAGATTAGCAGAAATAATTATGTAATCTGTAACGAGATAAACAATCATACCAATCTGCAATGCCAACAAATTTTCAATTTAGAATAAGATTATGGAAGTGAACAGTAACAGTGTTTGATATCAAATCAAATCACTTATAACGTTCAGGCTTCAAGACACCAACATAAGGCAAATTCCTGTATAGTTCAGCGAAGTCCATACCGTAACCCACAACAAAGTAATCTGGGCACTGCAAAGGAAGCATATTGGGAAAAAATTAATAAAATCAAAATTCATTGCCGATAAGAGATAGGTAATTCATGCTTGTAACAGCTGGTAACAAGCTAAAAGGAACTTAATGCAGGCTGTGAAATAGAAGATCTTAGGGTTTGTTTGGTATTTTTATTGAAGCTGCTGTTTTACAAAAGCTATGTTGAACATGTTGATTAGAGATTATTAAAGTTTGTTTTAAGGTAATTTTTAAGATGTTCTAATTATAAGAGCTTCAATAGCTAAACAATACTCCTAAATTATTTCTTTTAGTAACTTCTAAACTGGTGCATTTTTTAAAAAGCAGTTTCAATGTCAACGATAAACAGGCTCTTAGTAAAATGAACCTATAGTCATTAAATATTTCTTGAATCTACTGGCAAATGTCTGCCAGGAAGTAAGTAATCTGAGCATGATAACCAATCTACTAAGTCCAATTATATATCCCAGGATCAGGTTCTAAGTAATAGGTATAGTATAGTAAATGTCAGGGCAGACTAGCTATATTTACAATTTAATTAAGTCAGTTCAACAAATGAATTACAATTTTTCAGTATAGAGACCTTTCAATTTGCGAAAAAAATTGAAACTATGGTTTGTGCAGAATGATCACTGCAACACAACAAAATCTAGAATTCTAGATGCACTGGTAAGGTAAAGGACAGTCAACTGAAATTCGTTCCTAAAATGTTTCTGCAAATGTAATCAAGAGTGTCATAAAGAAACTAACACCATAAAACAAGCACAACAAACAAATAATGTTTCAAAGCACTTCACAATTATTATTACATTACAACTCAGTATTATTATTATATTATAGCCTGCTGAATAACAAATTATGACAATCCTATGTTTCAGTAATAGAAAAATATAATGGGATGCTCATACTAAATACTAGCAACTAGGGGTGAGCTAATTAGTTTAACCGAACTGAACTGGCTTGGTTTTGTCTGACTGAATTTCCAGGCAAAAACTGAACCACAACTGAATCTGCTCAGTTCAATTATTCTGAACCATAAAAGCTATTCCATGACCAGGCTCAGGAGTTCCCATTCTACTTCATTGACTGTATGCAAATGTTCTTCGTTCAAGGATATAGAAATTACAGAGAAAACCATCCTACGGTTAATTAGGTCAGCGGATTTTCTTCAGCCATTTCAATGTTTTTCATAATGAGATATCAGATCTTTTTCAAATCAATAAAACCCATAAAGGTGAATCTGAGCACACACATCACATATGAATAGAAAGAGCATGATAGCATACCTCAAATCCTCGGTAGTACTTCCCATCACCAACTAGTTCAAAATGGACTTTCCTTCTTGCTGGCTTGTCAAGGAAAGTGCAAACTGATACAGAGGATGCTCCCTTTGACCTCAAATGTTCAATGAGACTAGACATAGTGCTTCCTGTGTCTACAATGTCCTCAACCTAACACACACGTGATGATGAAAGATAAAAAGCAGTTCAAGAAAACCCTAATTTTCAGCTCCAAAAATTTCAGAAAAGAGAAAGCCATCCATTTGGGTTAGCTGAGTAGTTTGCAATTTCCAAGGTCTAATTTCTAAATTATCATTCAACTTCCATGACAAACCAAACGGATCCTTATCGGTTTTTACAGCATAATTTCCGGATAATTGAATTCAAAACTATTAATTAACCATTAACAATCAAATAAATAGATAAATAGATAAATAGAAGCAGTACCAGAATAACGTGTTTGCCACTAACATCGAGCTTCAAGTCCATGGAAATGACGGGAGCACCGGTGGATTGGGTGCCGGAGCCATAGGATTCAGCGCGAATGAAATCAACGGAAACAGGCAAGTGAATTTGCCTGACTAAGTCGGCTAAGAACAAGAAAGCGCCGGTGGCCACTCCTACAATAACCGGAGGCGGAGAAATCGAGGCAAAATTGGTAGTGATTTCATAAGCAAGCTCGGTTACTCGTTTGGAGATTTGGAACTTGGTCCATAGCACAGTTTCTATGTGCGAGTCAAGAGACATAGCCAGAGACCGATAACAGAATACAAAGAGAAGAGAGCTCCACTTGTAGTCGGAGGATCTTCCTGTTACTAGATGCTTTACTCTATTAATTTTTTTTTTTTTCTTGCTAAACCATTAAAAATACCACCCTCTCTGCAATTTCACTGCAATTTAACTTTTATGATAATTTTATCTCAATTTTAATCTTCGATAACAATAGACCTCTCTATTAAAATTAAATTTCAAATCTAAATAAAGTATTATTTATGTGGTTCGCCTTAAACATGGACTTAACATAAGCTTGTGATAAACATGGATTAATTGAATCAAAAGCGGGAAAATATATAAATTCACCCCTTACTAGCATTCTAAAATTTGTGAATAACTTAATGTGCACTTGAACTTGCAAATTTTAATAATTTTACACGCATTTTCACGTTAACAATAATAATTTTAAAGCTGTATTTGGTTTGATGTAGTGCAATATAATATAATCAAAGATATAAAGCAATGAAAAATGTAATAGAATAGAATGTAATCAAGATTCCATTATTATGTTTGGTAATGTAATTGCAAAAATTTATGAAATGTAATTATCATTCTTATTTTATGTTTGTTTGAAAATATAATATAATTAACATATCTCCACTAATCACATTGCTACCATCACCTCAAATACGATTCCACTACCACCACATCATTATTAATACGAAAGAAATATTTGAACTAAAATCTATTCGATATATTACGATATTAAAAACTATTTAGATTTATAGATTTATTTTGAACTAAAAAAATTAAAAGAAGGTAACGCGAAAAAATGTAACTAAAGTCATTCGAAATTAATTTTTCATATATTTTTGTTGAATAAATTATTTAAATATAAAATTCAAGGGCATTGATATTTGTTCAGTGCTTTTTCTTTGAACTAAAAAAATTAAAAGAAGGTAACGCGAAAAAATGTAACTAAAGTCATTCGAAATTAATTTTTCATATATTTTTGTTGAATAAATTAAATTATAATATAAAATTAAGGGCATTTTGATATTTGTTTAGTGCTTTTTCATTCTATTCTTCTCATTCCTATAATAAAATAAAAGAATAAAATATAATTTTTATTGAGTGCTGCATATTAAACACTAAAATGTAATTTTCATTATGTGGTGGTGGTGGTAATAGTGGAGTGGTGGTTGTGGTGGTTGTGGTGGTTGTAGTAGAGTGGTTGAGGTGGTGTTGATAGAGCAGTGGTGGAGTAATGGTAGTGGTAATAGTGATGGAGCGGTGGTGGTGGTTGAAGTGGTGGTAATAGAACAGTGGTGGTTGTGATGGTGGTGGTAGAGTGGTGGAGCATTGGTGGTTGAGGTAGTAGTGATAGAGCAATGATGGTGGAGGTGGTGGAGTGATGGTGGTGGTGGTAGTGGTGGAGTGGTGGTGTTAGTGGTGGTTGTGGAGGAATGGTGGTGGTGGTGGTTGAGGTAGTGGTGGGAATGATGGAATGGTAGTCGAGTGGTGGTGGTCGAGTGGTTTTGATAGTTATAGAGTTTTAATTGGGCTGACTTGATATAATTGGTATTACATGTGCTTGATGTAATAGACAATACATGTGTTTTTTGATATAATGAATATTATATCAATTTTTAAGTAATGAAGATTATATATGTAATCTCAATTATATTATAGTTTTTTTAAAAAAAAAAGTTTAAACAAACAATGTAATAAATCATATAATGTAATTCGTGTTCTATTACTTGGTTGATTACACCATACCAAACATGCCTAAGGTTTTTGGTTTCTATATGGAAAATATTTATTTCATATGTAGTTAGCATAGTTTTTAGAATAATAATTTTTACATTTTTCAGCTTTTTTTTAATAGGTGTTTAATTAATCTAATTTTGCAAGTGGAGGTGTTTAATAAAATAATTTAATAAATTGAAGTGTTTAATAAGTGTAATTTTTTAGTTGAAGTGTTTGACGGGTCAAAACAAAAGTAGAGAGACCCATAAGGTTAAATTAATAAAGTTTAGAGGTGAAATTATGTATTAAACCAATCAAAAGTTATAGTAAACATGAGTTATCATTAACAGTAGATTGCGATACAAGAGAAAAATCACATTTTATAATTCTTTAACCTCTATTCTCTAAATTGCTCCATTGGTCTTATATCTTTGTCTTACTTGATTGTAGCATGTGTTTCTTGTGCTTAATCTTGCCTAAATGTGACAAGTGAATTGACTTATTCGCACAAATAGAAATTATTTAGTTTCAAATAGCAAGGGAAAAGTTGAATAGCGATTGATAAGTTTATTTGGTGGAAAACTTAAATATTTTGTGTTATTGGCTTATTCATATAATTTTCTGAAATAGTAGTTGATTTAATTTGTGGATATTGGGATTGATTTATAGAAGATTCTGATTTTTTCAGTTAAAAAATCCTAGTGTTGTTACTGATGTATGTTATAATTCATAAATTACAACTTTATTATCATTATACATTATTGGTTTAACAATGTAATATAAATTATTTTTCATTATAATTTATAAGTGGACAATAACATATACTATACACTATTATCAGTAATAATCAACTAGTCAATTTTCCATCTTTATATTTCACTTCAGCTCCATCTCTGGAAATAAAATTATGAGAGGGTACGTAGGGAATATGGTTGATCAAACTCTTTTTGTAATGATTGGAAAATGAAATTGGCTGGTGTTCTTCCCAACTGCTCCAATAAACTTGCCTACACCCATCTTTTCTAGAGAATGAAATTATTGACTAAGAGTATTTATGAAACCCGACACTAAAGTAAGGCTTTATCTGCAACTTTTTGAATTGTTTGCATTGGTCTCTTTGGTTCGAGCAAAAGGCTAGGATGAAAATTTGGATCAATTTCCTAGTATATGGAATACTGAATGGATTCCAGAGCCCCTTTGTTTTAGTGTAAACTAAGGGCACCAATTCCTAGTGTTATGACATAAATTGCACTTAAACCACAAATTCAAGCCCTCACAACACTCGATACCTACAACTATTACCACTTATGGTAGCAGATAAAGAGGGATCTATCTGCAGCCTCCGCTGCTGGATTGACGGCTTTATATGAATGGACCTAGGGTTGCAATTAAGGGTAGTGCTTGAGAATGTTATTTACTCGTATCAGACCTTATTAGTGAAATAACGCACCTACGAAGTGCTAAAGATAGTTATTATCTTCGGGATATCAACTGAAGCAATTCAAACAAGGGTTTAAGTGGCTACAACTGTAACTTAGAAACTTAGATACGAGACAAAAGTTGGGTATCAAAAAGAGAATTTTTAAATCCAATGCTTTGGCAAAAATTCTAGGCAAGAAGAATGTAACCCCCTAATATTTCTGTGTTGTGAATAGTGATTTACCGGTCCATGAATAGTACCACCAAACCGGAAATTAGTGTTTTTCCAATTCGAAAAAATTATTATTCATAACTAATATTTTTTATAATTATTTTGGAGCATGCATATATTATTTTAGTAAATAGAAAATAAATTATGAGTTTATTTGGAGAAATCAAGTAATTAATGAATAATGAATTGTAGTAGTTTTAGAAATTAGAAAATTAGAGAATTAAGACTATTTAATAATTTTAATAAGTATTGAGGATGAAAATAATTGTGGAATTTATTGTAGGGTGTGATATTAACCATTGAATTTTAATTTGGAGATTAAATCTTATCCGCAACTTCCTGTGGAAGTAGTTACCTAATTACAAAAATGCCACTAAAAAATTTTACTATAGCAATTCTTTTTCTTTCTTTCCTTTCTTTATTTCACAATTTTCTCTCCTTTGTTGGTGCATGGCTGAACCTTCCCTCTCCCACTCTCTCATTTTCTTTTCAAAATTTCTACACTAAATCACTTAAATTAACTACAACCAACCAAATCCAAGCCTTTGTCTTTCAAGATTTAAGCTATTTCTTGTAGTGGCTTGTAGAATTCAAGGTTTTGGAGTTGTAGTCTATAAATTCAATTAAGTAAGAATGTGAATTTGAGTTTAATTTTAAAAAATTATTTGGGGTTTTTTTCTTCTCCTCATCTCTTAGTATGATTTCCATGATTTCTTTAAGTCATGTGTGTTGATTTTGGACATTTTCATGTTAGAGTTGGGAGAACCATCAAGGGTTGATAAGCTAAGGCTTAATGGGTGGTTCTTAAGCTTTCTAAAGCTTACTCCTAAGATTAGTGCTCATGAATTTCATCTCTCTCATTTTCTTTAATTTTCAATTCTAGGATTTTATGACAAATTTTGGAGATTTTGTATAAATCGTATAAATTGATGTGTTGTGTGTTTAAATGAACTATTGGGTGATTATGGATGATGATTATATGCTTGAAATGCTAAACATGATACCCCTCCCTTGTTTTCCATGGTTGGCCGAACCACTCTAGGATGGTAAGGCTTGGTTGCTCTTCTTTTTAATTAACGATTTTGCTCCTAAAATCATGCTAGATAAGTATAGAAGTGTTGAGAATTTGCCTTGCTTGAATTCTTAGCTTTGACATATTTTTCCTATGACAAAAAGTATGAATTTTGGGGGGTTTTGCATGTAAGGTTTGTAATTGAGTAAATGGATTGTATATGTGATGTTGAGACTTAATGAATGATGTTAAAATGCTTAGAACACAAAGAAAAACTATCTTTCATGTTGTCTTTAGTATGGTTGAACCTAGAAAGAAATTATATCTAGGTTTATTTTGCTTTTAACTTGCAATTCTTCTTTAATTTATGATGGTAAGCATGTGGTTATGAGTTGGTGATCATGCCTTATTTAAATCCTTAAGTATAAAAATTTTCCTATGACAAGAAATTTGGGATTTTGATAATGTAAAGTGAATTTATGTGTGATGAACGCTTTTTTTATATTATACATGATTCATATATGACAATAGCATGCTTGAATAGGTGAGAATGTTACTTTTTGGTGTGGAACCTCACTTGGCTAAACTATAAGGAAGGATAGCCTTGTGAATTCCTAGCATTTAAGTGACAATTCTTATTCCGTATTGATGCTTTGTACATCTTTAAAACTTGCCATTGATATCCCTTTTAAATTTTAAGAAATGAATGACATGAGACATAAGGATTTTTGGAAAAATGTATGAGATTATGCATGTTTTA